TCTTCTGGCACTATTCCTGAAGACAATGACGACATAAAGATCAAAGCTCTCAGATACCTCCTGGACCATGACCCCACCATGATGCATCAGGCAATTTTATCTGCTTTGGTAACGGATCTCTTTTCATCTGGTGAACTCCGACCCACTGCTTCCAAGCTGACAGTTCCCCAGCCCCGCACAGCTCGCTTCTACCTCCTTCCAAAAATCCACAAACAGGACTGTCCAGGCAGACCCATTCACTCAGCCTGCCCATGGCCCACAGAACTCATCTCTTCCCACCCTGACTTAGTCTTCTCTCCCTGGTCCTGCACATCTGTGAAAAAAAAGAGTTCTGAGAAAGGTTCACCGGACCCGAAACGTTAATTCTGATTTTTTTTCTTCACGTGCTCCCAGACCTGCTGAGCTTTTCCAGCAACATCTGTTTTTCTTTCCAAATGTATGCTCATCTTATCCTTCAAAATCTTCTCAAGTATGTTACCTACTATAGACGTTAGGCTTACTGGTCTATAATTCCCAGGTTTTTCTTTGTAGCCCTTCTTATATAAGGGCAGAACATTCGCTACCCTCCAGTGTTTTGGGACCTTACCTGTGGTTAACGATGAAACAAGAATATCAGCCAGGGCACCCACAGTTTCTTCTCTAGCCTCTTGCAGGGTTCTTGGATATATCTAATCAGGACCAGGAGATTTATCCAACTTCATACATTCTAACACGTACAATACCTCCTCTACTGTGATATGAACTGTCCCCAAAATATCACCACTAACTTCCCCAATTTCCCAAGCCTTCATGTCTTTCTCCACAGTATACACAGAGGAGAAATATTCATTGAGGACCTTGCCCAACTCCTGTGGTTCCACATATACATGGGTGGGGGAGGTGAGAGAGGGAGGAGGGGAGAATAAAGGGGAGACGAGGTGGGAGAGAAAGTGAGTGTGCTAAAGGAATGTTAGACAAGGGGGTGATGAGAGAGGGTTACAGTGGAGCAGAGTGTGCAGTAGGAGACGAATATTGATGACAGTATTACAGGTTGATGTGTTCTCCATGCATTTCAGCAAGGATTCTGATCGGGTCCCACACAGCAGACTTGTTAAAAACAAAATTAAAATCCCTCATGGGATCCACGGGAATGCAACAAAGCCAGAAATAAGTTGGTTTCATGGCAGAAAACAAACGCTGACTGTTGATGGGTGTTTTTGCCACTATTTCTAGTGGGTTTCTGCAGGGCTCAGTGCAAGGTCTCCTGTTGAATATATTCATAATTTGGGCTTAAATCCAGAGGGTATGATCAAGAGGTTTGCAGCGAACACAAAACTTAGCCGTGTGGTTGAAAGTGAGGGGGATAGCTGTAGACTGCTTCTGTAGCAGCCCACATGAAGCTTTACACCATCCAGGACAAAGCAGCTCATTAGATTGTCACCATACCCCCAAACATTCACTACTTTCACCACCGACGCTCAGTAGCAGCAGTGTGTACCGTCTACAAGAAGCACTGCAGAAATTCACCAAAGATCCTGAGTACCTTCCAAACCCATGACTATTTTCATCTCAAAGGACAAAGGCAGCAGTTACATGGAAACGCCACCCCCCAGCAAATTTCTTTCCAAGGCATACACCATCCTGATTGAGAAATCTATGGCTATACCTTCAGTGTTGCTGGGTCAAAATCCAGGATTCCTCTCCCTAACAGCATTGTGGACCCAGCTAGAGGGATGGGGAGGTGAAGGGGTTTGTTGTGAAAGATAGCGCGTTTCCTTTAGTGTGACTGAGTCAAAATCCTTGAATTGCCTCTCCCTAAAGCATTGAGGGTCTACCTACATCAGGGGGGTGGGGGGAGACTCCTGCCTGCATCTGCTCTGCCCTGACCTATATACCCGACACACCCAACCCCATTCTGTGCATGTAGATTACTCAATTTCAAATGGATTCCTACTAATCACATGATTTCTCTGAATAGCAGTGAGTTCTAATCTATTCATACACTGGCATTGCTGATTGGACATAGAGCAGACAGAAACTGCACGTCATCCCGTTTATATACAGCCGCACACCCCTCAATCATCCAATTCAGAGATCATCAGATCATTTTGCTTCGTGTTCTTCATTTCTTTTTTAAACATTTAGTGCTATCACCTTCTATATTCAGGAGTGGAGCTGAGAGGGAGCAAACTGGAAGGCAGCTTGGGAAGGTAAGTGATATAAAAAGTCCATTTTAGGTGCGGAGCTGAGCCGGAGTGTTAAATTTGAATTAGTGTTAAACTATTGGTTAGAACTTGCATGCACATTGAGATAATCAGCAGAGATATAAAAACAGTTTAAACACCTTTTTTTTTAAAAAAGCCAAATACAAAGTTAGTGAAATGAAATAAGGATGGAGGGTCAGGTGATGTGTTATTCCTGCATGATGATATGGAAGCTGGCAAACCCTATTGTTGTTCCAAGTGACCACATCTGTCGTAAATGTTGGTGATGTATGCGGTGATGCAATTCCGCAAGAAGAAAACCAAAAGGCAAGATAAAATAAGAAGTAGAATACAATAAGGGATGCAGGACAAGGGATACATGAGGAATATGTTCAATGATCACTGAAAATGCCAGGACACACGGAGAGAGCAGTTAATAAAGCTCACTGTGTTCTTGGTTTTAATAATAGGGATATAGAGAACAAGAGTGCAGTGATACTGAACTTGTAAAAGACATTTGTTAGTCCTCAGCTCAAGTATTGTCTACAGTCGTGGGCATCTCATTGTGGATCACTTGGATTTGGGAATGTTGGGAAGGAGAAATATGTAGAAGGTTAGGCGTGAATGCATTAGAGAGAGTGCAGAGGTGATTTACGAGAATGGTTTCAGGAAGGAGAAACTTCAGTAATGAGGATAGATTGAAGAAGTTGAGACTGTTCTCGGAGACAAGACTGAGAGGACATCTGATTAAGGTTTACAGAATCCTGAGTGGGCTGAACAGAGGAGAAAGGGAGAAGCTATCCCTGCTCAAGAAAGAAGAACCGTGTGGCATAGATTTAAAGTGAGGCGCAAACAAAGCAAGCGTGGTGTGTTTAAAAAAAAAAGCTATTTCACACAGCAAATTGTTAGGGTATGGAATGCCCTGCCTGGAAATGTGGTTGTGGCAGGTTCATATGAGACATTGGATGATTATATGGTTAGAAATAGTGTGCAGGGGTACGGGGCAATTCAGGAGCTTGGCACTAGGTAATGATGCTCATTAGCTCGTGGAGAGCAGAGGGGACGGGAGGAGGTGGAGGAGAAACGGGGGAGGGAGGGGAGTGGGAGTGGGAGTGGGAAAGGGGGATATTGATGCGTTGAGTTTGCTAAGATATGGTGAGAGAACCAGCTCAGTCGCGCAGCGAGAATCACTCCACCGTACCTGAAGCAACTTGCACTTAGCCCAAACCATAAGATTGAGCCGCATGGTTCGTAATAAATACTTTACATGTGGAATCACAAAAACAAGGGGGACAATGCAGGTTCTGTTGTTAAGTAGGAGGAAGAGTGAAGTATTGGAGGTGATAAAAAGCAAGGGAGGGAACAATGATAGGATTGGTATCTGTGGATAATTCACACGGACCAGATTAAATGTTTCCCAGGCTGTTAAAAGAAGCCAGCAGGAGAAAGGGGAAGCTCTAACTATGATTTTCCAATCTTCACCAATTAATTGCCTTTCATTTTAACAGGACACTGCGAAGCTCAGAGGAACAAAGGGATCTTGGAGTGATTGTCCACAAGGCAGCAGAACAGGGTAAGAGGATAGTTCAGAAGGCCTACAGGATACTGGCCTTTATCAGTCAAGGCAGAGACTAATACGAGCAGGCAGGCCATGTTGGAGCTGTGTCAGACTTCTGCTTAGGCCACAGCTGGAGTACTGTGTGCAGTTCTGTCCACTGCACTGTAGCAAGGATATGATTGTACTGGAGGGGATAGGAAGGAGATTCACCAGGATGTTGTCTGGGATGGAGCAGTTTACTAATGGAGAGGCCAGATAAGGTCAGGTTTTCTCTGGAGCAGAAATGACCTGATTGAGGTGTATAAGATTATGCAGAACATGGACAGGAAGCAGCTATTCCCCTGAGTTGAAGGGTCTATAATAAGCAGGCATAATTTAGAAGTGAAGGGCAGGAGATTTAGAAGGGAGTTGAGGAAACCATTTTCACCCAGAGGGTGGTGGGTGTCTGGAATGCACTGCCTGGGAGGGGGCTTGAGGTGTAAAATCTCCCAACCCTTAAAAAGTACTTGGATGAACACTTGAAGCCTTGTAAAATTGAAGCTACTGGGCCTAGTGTGTCAAAGTGGGGTCAGTGTAGGCAGTGACGCATCTCTTATACCAGTACAGTCTCGATGGGCCGAAAAGCCTCTTTGGTACTGTAAGATTCTATGCACACATTCAGAGCTGGTAACTGAACTTGACGAGTGTGCTTGTGATCATCGTGCAGTATTAATTCAGAGCTTTGCGAACTACATGGTAAATGGAAAAGTCCTGGGGAAAATTGATACACAGAGATCTGGGTGTTCAGGTCCATTGTACCCTGAAGGTGGCAACGCAGGTCGATAGAGTGGTCAAGAAGGCATACGGCATGCTTTCATTCATCGGACGGGGTATTGAGTTCGAGAGTTGGCAGGTCATGTTACAGTAGTATAGGAGATAACATGGTATAGAGTTGGATGAACACAGCAGGCCAAGCAGCATCAGAGGTGCGGGAAAGCTGACGTTTTGGGCCTAGACCCTTCTTCAGAAACCACTTCTGAAGAAGGGTCTAGGCCTGAAACGTCAGCTCTGATGCTGCTTGGCCTGCTGTGTTCATCCAGCTCTACACCTTGTTATCTCAGATTCTCCAGCATCTGCAGTTCCTACTATCTCTGAAACAGTTGTACAGGACTTTGGTTTGACCACATTTGGAATACTGTGTACAGTTCTGGTCGCCACATTAACAAAAGGATGTGGATGCTTTGGAGAGGGTGCAGAGGAGGTTCACCAGGATGTTGCCTGGTATGGAGGCCACTAGCTATGAAGAGAGGTTGAGTAGATTAGGATTATTTACATTAGAAAGACGGAGGTTGAGGGGGGACCTGATTGAGGTCTACAAAATCATGAGAGGTATAGACAGGGTGGATAGCAAGAAGCTTTTTCCCAGAGTGGGGGCCTCAATTACTAGGGGGTCACGATTTCAAGGTGAGAGGGGAAAAGTTTAAGGGAGATATGCGTGGAAAGTTCTTTACGCAGAGGGTGGTGGGTGCCTGGAACGCGTTGCCAGTGGAGGTGGTAGAGGTGGGCACGATAGTGTCGTTTAAGATGTATCCAGACAGATACATGAATGGGCAGGGAGCAGAGGGATACAGATCCTTGGAAAATAGGCGACAGGTTTAGATAGAGGATCTTGGATCGACACAGGCTTGGAGGGCCGAAGGGCCTGTTCCTGTGCTGTAATTTTCTTCGTTCTTTCATCTTTGAAAGATGTTGAGAGGATAAACTAACCACAGTTAACCAATGAAATTTAAGGAGAGTATAAAGTTGAAAGAAAGAGTATATAAGAAGGCAAAAGCCCGTGATAACCCAGAAGATGGAGATGAATTCAGGAAAGGAGAACCAAAAAGATCATAAATAGACAGAATAAACTACCAGGGCAAACCAGCGAGGAGAATAAAATTGACAATAAGAGCTTCTTTATGTTTATAAAGAGAGGTCAAAGTGAACGTAGTCCCCTGGGAAGATGAAACTGGTGAGATGATTTTGGGGGGAACAAGGAGATGGCAGAGAAGTTAAACAGATATTTTGTATCAGTCCTTAAGGTGTAATCTGATTTTGATTTATTGTTGTCACGTGTACCTAGATACAGTGAGAAGTGCTGTTTTGCATGTTCTACAGGCAGATCGTATCATGCAAAGCGCATCAGGGTAGCAGAATTCAGTGTTACAGCTGCAGAGAAGGTCAGTCATACAGCACAGGAACAGACCCTTTGGTCCAACAAGTCTACGCCAACCATGTTCCCAAACTAAACTACTCCCACCTGCCTGTGCTTGCCCCATATCCCTCCAAACCCTTCCTATTCAGAAACTTATCCAAATGTATTTTTAAATGTTGTAATGCATCCATCACTGTCTTTGGCAGTTCATTCCACAAATGAACTATTCTGTAAAAACATTGCTGCTCATGTGCTTTTTAAATCTCACCTTAAAAATATGCCCCTAGTTTTGAACTCCACCCCCCCCCCCCTCCCCCCCCCCCCCCCCCCCCAAACCTTTGGGGGAAAGACCCTTGTCATTCACTTTATCTATGCTCTTGATTTTATTAACCTCAACAAGGTCACTCTTCCTATGCTCCAAAGAAAAAAGTCCCAGTCTGTCCTGTCTATTTTTATATCTCAAACCTTCCATTTCTGGCAACATTCTGGTTAAACCATTCTGAATCCTGTCCACAGGTTAATAACAGGGCGACCAGAACAAAGCAGGGAAGAAGCTGTTTTTGAATTGGTGTTCATATGTGTATTCAAACTTTTATATCTTCTGCCCGACAGAAGGTGGAAGAGAATATAATCAGGGTGGGAGGGGTCTTTGATTATGTTGATTGCTTTAATACTAAAGAATATGGGGGCGGTGTGGGGAAAGGTGGCGGTGGGAAATTAAGTACCATCATTAAAGATGTAGTATTGGTTCCTGGCTCTGATGGCTTGTATGCTAGGATCCAAAAAGAAATTATTAAAGACCATAAGACATAGGAGCTGAAATTAGGCCATTCAGCCCAATGAGTCTGGCTAATAAGTTTCTCAACCCATTCTCCAGCTTTCTCCCAGTAACCCTTGATCCCCTTGACAATCAAGAACCTATCTATCACCGTTTTAAATATACTCTATGACCTGGCCTCCTCTGGTCCCCCTTTTTTTTTTAAGGAAAGATGTTTCACTGGAGGCGGTTCAAAGAATGTTCACTGGAATAATCCCTGGTATGGAAGGATTGTTTTATGAGCAAAGCCAAAACAAGTTGGGATTCTGTCCATTGGAGTTTAGAAGAATGAGATGATCTAATTGAAAGCTATAGGATTCCTAAGAGGCTGAACAGGGTAAATGCCAAGAGGATGTTTCCTCTCATGGGAGATTCTAGGGCCAAAGGGCATAATCTCAGAATAAAAGGGTGCCAATTTAGGACTGAGATGAGGTGGAATTTCTTCTGAGAGTTGACCATCTTTGGAACTGTGATTGGTAGATAGACAGATAGCTGGATAGGCGGATAGACACAGATGGACAGACAAATTCTTGATCAGTTGGAGAATCAAGGGTCACAGGGCAATGGCAGGAAAGTGGACAAGAAGAATATCAGATCAGCCATGATCCTATTGAATGATAGAGAAGGTGTTGCAGGGAGAGAGGTGCAGTGTGGGTGAACAGCCTTCTCCTGTTCCTATTTATTACGGTCTTGTGGTATAAATGAATCCCAGTCTGAAGGAAATAAGTTTCCAGAGGCCTGTGGAAGCTGTATGCATTGACTAGTGACTTCAGAATTCACGCAAGAAATACAATCACATGTACCTGTCATTCAACCCCTTGTCCAAGGATTTCATGACGGCCTGGTATTAATCAGTGAAATGGTTTTTGAACTGGTAAATAAGAATTATTTTATTTTTCCTTTCTAAGTTAATTCTTAACTGTGTGTCTGTCGTTGAGTGGGAGTTTATGGTCAAAGAAGATTGGGCTTAGATCACAAAATTAGATTGCTTTGCAGTTTAGAGATAGTAGGAACTGCAGATGCTGGAGAATCCGAGACAACAAGGTGTCGTAGGTGTTCTGCAAAGCGGTCCCCGAGCCTCCACTTGGTTTCTCCGATATAGAGGAAGCCACAGCAGATGCAGTATACCACATTGGCAGATGTGCAGGTGAACATCTGCTTGCTTTGCAGTTTATCTGTGTTCTGCTAAAGTTGCAATCTTAAACAAAAATTAACAACTTAATAATTTATTAACTTGGTGTCCAAAATGTGTAACTTGTCAACTCTAGTTAGGAACAATTGAGCAATTTTGACCGTCTTTGTTTTAATGTCACTGTGTTGTGAATCCAGTGATGGTGAGGCTGATTTGGTTTGGCATGCTATTCCCGTATCATCATAATGTGCATATACGATACCTGAATGGGAGACAATGGAGAAAATGGGGTTTCAGGCGTAACACTTAAATGGTTACGTATGGATCTTTTTAACTAGAAATAAATCCAGAAAATATTATGCTTAACTGGGTACGCAAGTATCAGTCTCACATGTCCAATAATGAACTATTAATTTGTAGTTGTTCATTAGCTTGCCAATCTGTTGTTCTGTGGTGTGCAGATGTTTCATTACCCTTCTCGGCAACATGATCAGTGCCATCACTAATCGAAGCGTTGGTGTTTTGCATCCATCAAGATTTATATGATGCTCCGGTGTGATGTTCTTGTCACTTCTGGTTTTTGTTTAGCAGCTGTCTGTGTTGAGGCTGGTTGGCTCGCCGAGCGGGTTTGTTGTTCCGCAGACGTTTCGTTACCGTGCTGGGTAACATCCTCAGTGCAGCCTCTGATGAAGCATTGGTGTGTTTTCCCGCCTGGTTTTTAAACTCTGGGGTCTGTTGCAATGGATTGCCTCACTTCCGGGTTTCCTCCGTAATGGAATGTATATGGGGTCGAGTTCAATGTGTTTATTAATAGCATGCTTCATGGAGTGCCATGCTTCCATGAATTCTCGTGCTTGTCTGTATAAGGGTTCTATTTGTCTGCCTTTGTTAATGGAGTCCCATGTTGAGAACCAGGGTTCCAGGAAATTCCCTTGCACATCTGTTGTTTTGTCCCAGTCCAACTGATGGCCCTCATTGTCTGTGTATCAAAACAAGTGAATGATGGTCATGGATGAACACAGCAGGCCAAGCAGCATCATAGGAGCAGAGAGGCTGACGTTTCGGGCCTAGACCCTTCATCAGATGAAGGGTC